ACTGCTCTCTAAATAAAATCGGTTTTTAAAGCAGATGAATTGAATACCTATTAGTAGGAGATCATTGTATAAGTGTCGGCACAATCATTGTGGTGTTTGATCCCTATGAGGGTCAATTCTTGTCAGTATTTTTCTTATTTAAAAATGTACCAGTAAAAAAAAAGGCCCTTTTTCGAAACCGAAAGGCATTAAATAATTATATTATACCTGATTATAACACACTAAGCTTGAGGGTTATAGAACTGCAAATGAAAAAAAATCATGAGATACCGCCTTGTGTGTTCTTTAGTTTTAAAAGACGATTTTACGATTTGATCTACAGAAAGCTCTAAGTTTTACCTTTTTCGGCTTATATATTGTGACGTATATTTTTTAAAAATTTATGCGACTCAAACTGCCATATTTGCGCAATGTCAACAAGATTACGAATTCACAAAAGTTTATATTAGAGTCATTAATCTTTACGATTAACAGAAAAAAGTGTGGGTACGTAATACACCTAGTTCAACTGCATCCTTTTATAGCAAAAATACATAGATTTATCAACCTCTTTACTAGGCAAATCTTCGCCATGTAATATTGATGGGTCTGACAACCAAATACGTTCGGGAGACAATCAGATATACTTGCTCAAATCAGACTGCCTGTGGACAGCGGTCGAAACAAGAGAAACATTTTTGGTCTTAAAATATTTGCAAAAGACATAAAAGACTACGAAATACTCTTACGCATATATAATCTCACCGAATAGACAAGCATTCAGTTTCCTCACACAGCTTAAGCAGGGATAATTGACAGCAAAAAAAAAAAACTGTTTCCTTGCATCTAATATTAGCTCCAAAGATAATAATAATATGATACGTTTGCAGAGTTAAGTATAATACACGCTGATGTGGTGGGAGCTTGCTAATGACGAAAATCAGTAATTTTGTAAAACATTAGCACAGCCTCAGATATAATTATTTGCGGGACGATTAATTAGAAAAGGATGAAGAACACAAACTGCCCTGGTGGTCACAGTACTATTAGGATACCGTTCATAAAACAAGGTTATTCTCTGGACGTCGCGGATATTATGTTAGCATCAATACCTGATAGCAGGTTGTAACAATACAATGCTCGTTTGAAACAATGTCACTGTTTTTGTGGATAAAATTATGTACTATTTTTTGAAACGCTGTGGTCTGGGATATCTCAATAAGAAAAAGAAAATTAGCATAAATGACAGCACAAAATCGGTTATGTCATTATTAAAATAAATTCAGAAATTATGAACAATATTCTTGTCAAATGGTTTATGTGAAGAAATTTATAAATTTCGTACCCTGTCACCAAAATATGCTGTCACGGGTACTACTAGTACTACTTGAATCCCAAGTAGGGTGCATAATTATTTAAAGAGGAAACTTGGACCCATGTGATAGCATTTTATAAAGCTGTTTTTTTTTAATAATAGGTAATAACTCTTTGGCTCTTTTTATTGCTCATAAGATACTTATTTTATTTATAATCAAGTCAAATATTAATTTGTATACTAATGAAAGTTTCAAAATTAAATATCACTGATAAGATTAAGTCTTCAACTATAAATCGAGCTTATCATTTACTGACTTTATTATAACGATGTACCTTCAATATGTCTAGCCAAAAATCTTGGAATACTATTTCAATGTTTCAGCAGTGAAGAGGCAATGGGAATGTGTTTTTATTTTTTTACTAATATTATTATTTAGTTCATAGACTTCGAGTCGCTGTATCTTTGCAACTCTACCAGACAGCGGAATAGACATAATCACCTTCTTATAGCACGATACGTGCTGCTACTTTACCTGATACTAAGCCAGAAGTTAGTATACAGCTTATGAAGAAAACTGCGGATTGGACAAGTGCAAAATTTTACAATAGAGAAGTATCCAAAAATAACTCGGCCTTTTTTGCTCGCTCTCTTTACAAACATTTTAAATAGATTTTTAAATTACCTATCTAGAGCTAAATAATAGTATTTTATTTTATTCTCAAATCAAGTGGTACTATATTAATTTACATTAGTATCTAAAAGTCAGCTATTTCGTGTAGCTTTAAACATCTACAAGTGTGTCAATGTAATCTCGAAGGGCGAATCACAGAAGTATAATTGAAAGTCAAACGAACTTACCTGTAAGTGACGTTCGACTTATATTATACGATGTGATTCGCCCGAGAGATTACACACCCTCCCTGTCCCTGATCAGCTATTCTATGAAGATATCTAGATCTTACCCATGGTCACACGAAATAGCAAGAACCAATGGACCGCTTTAGTCCAAACGTGTATGAATATGTGGAGTTACCCCCAGTGCGAACGCATATTTTATATTTTTTTTGTTATATTTTTTAGGCAAAGGTTAATGTTGCTCTAAAATTGTGTACGATGGCAGCACATAATGCGTGCTACTACAAGTGTGTCAATGTAATCTCTCGGGCGAATCACATCGTATAATATAAGTCGAACGTCACTTACAGGTAAGTTCGTTTGACTTTCAATTAATATTATGACAAACTAGCGGCCAAAAAGGATTTTCTGTGTTATGAGTAAAGATAATAGCATAGCTATTGCAAAATTATTTCCCTTGATTTATTTTAAACTTCGTCCGTATTCAAAACTTCTTGCATATCATATCGCATATCGCGATCGAATTCGAATACTTTGCGAGTGCGAAGTGTCATTGTCACCTTTTGTATGGAAATTAAATTACGAACTCGAAATGAAATGAAGAATTCGATAATAGTTCGTGCTAAGGTTAGAGAACCCCTAGCACGAACCGATATCGAATTCAAATAGTTTGCAAACCGAAATGTTATTGTCAAATGTTTACGGATTTTTAGTTCTCGTTACATACTTTGTGCCGTTGCTGTTCAAATTTCCATACAAAATTTGATGTGTATGGAAACTTGAACAGCAGCGCCACAAACGACGTAATGAATACTAAAAATCAGTACACATTTGACAATGAATTTACATGCTAAGGGTACTGATAAGAAAATCGTTCTTAACCGACTTCAAAAAAGGAGGAGGTTCTATGTTCGACTGTATTTTTTTTTATGTAGGTTCACCGATTTCTCCGTCAATTGTGGACCGATTTCCAAAATTCTTTTTTTATTCGAAAGAGTGCACTTCTGAGGTGATCCCATTAGAACCAAGTCAGGATCTGATGGTGGAATCCCGGGAAATCGTGGGAAACCTTCAAATTTTTAAAGGCACGCACGATGTTTTTTATGCATGTTCACCGATTTTTCCGTCAATTTACTTGGACGATGTAACTTTCACTAAAATGCATGAAATAAAAAAAAACCGACTTCAAAATCGAAACTGGAACTAATAAAGAGTAAAAAATAATATCTGGTTCATGATTTGGAAGTCGGGCGGGGTTAAAATTGAAACATTAAATAGATTTTAGTTTCTGATCGGTAATAGGGGAAACTACCCAATCATTGGCACTCTTCCTATTATTGGCACTTTTGAGTTTAGTTCGAAAAAACCAGGAAACAATAGATTAAAGGAATAATGCTGCCATTTTTCAAATTTCGTAACCATACTAGGTTTTTCTTTTAATATGTAACGACCTTGAATAATCTATTGTCTCCTTGTTTTCGAATTAACTCAAAAGTGCCAATAATAGGACGAGTGCCAATGATTGGTTGGTTTCCCCTACGTCTTTCAATTTTGACCCGCCGCCCGACTTCCTACTACGAATCATGAACCAGATATTATTTTTTACTTTTTATTTCCATTTTCGATTTTGATGTAGGTTTTTTTTACTCGTTGCAGTTTAATACTTTATTTTTAATATATAAATAAAAATGTAAAAAAATCAAAGTTAAAAAAGAAAAGGAATAAAAATCGCCCGGATAAGGAAGCGCTAGTTCGAATCCAGAGACAGCCAGGACAAAGAGAATTTAAAAAAAATACAAGTCCAGTCTTCTTAAAATTAATAAAAAAATATTAAAGATAAATAAATTGAATTAGATTGAATTTGAAAGATAAATAGATTGAAATATGAATATAATAATATAAATTATATTCATCTCATGGAGATGAGATCCATGAGAACAAAAGTTTCCAAAGGTTGGAAGCTTCATTATCATGGTGATTTGCGTGATTAACTGTACTCTTCTAAGTGGTCATGGACATTTAAAGAAATTAACACTTAACACCTATAGATTAGTGGACCCTTAACACAAAACACTGTACCGTTGAGTTAGGAATTATTTATCAAAACAGATATTGACATGACCGTTATGCTACCGCAGCCCTATCGAATTCTTACTAGCCTTTCTGAAGCTGCAAGCAGCGCCATCTCTTCGCATTGTAGGTAACCCACAATGTCAAATGAATACCTTTACAATTATTTAACATTTGAAAAAATAAATAGCAATTATACGTATAATGTTTAAGCTTGTAACTGCTCGATGTTTCAATCTAGAGAAAATATTACTAGAAAAAATTCCACGCGTACCAGGTAGCAGACGGGATTGTGGAATAGCTAAGGACCTAAGTAACAGTACCCTAATGAAGTACGCTATAAAGATAACAAGTTACTAATTAACGAAAGTAATACCAACGGTAGTGTGTGCCGAATCACACCTGTAAATTCGTAATATGCCTACTAAATTAACAGTTTCACCTAACATGAGTACTACGAGCTCCGAATACGTCAAATTTCCGAACATTTTAAAGCTTTTTTTTGTTTTGGGCTTTTTAGATAAATGATAAAATGTAACTATGTAAGTATAAAAAATAAATTAAAAAAAACAATAACTTCTAAGTAATTTATCAATATCTTTTAATTCCGTGATTAATTAGTCGAGATATGTAAGTACTTAAATTTTCAATTCGACGTATTTTCGGAATTTTCGATACAAAATATCCCATTTAATTAATATAACTGTCCCATTGTTTTGTCCAGTTTGCATAAATGCTATAGATATACATTTTTATTTTAAAGATATATAAGACTTACCGACAACCAGGCATCCGGTCATGGCCACTCCTACCTCTCCGCTCTGGACCTTCAAGTACGCCAAGAATATGTAGGCCACCATCAAACCGGCGCAATATGCCATCAGGCACATGCCGTGGAGGTTCCTCAGGTCAGGAATGAAGGCATATACCATGAAGGTGGCTAGCAGAAACGGTACGGATAGAAGCAGACCTGCAACATAAGTAAATACACACATCAAAAGTGTCTAGGGATCAACATATATTTTTGCAATAACTTTTCTCCTGATTGATATTAATTAAAATTTTCTTTAAGGATTCATCAAATAAAGTGTTTTCGTTTGTCACAGTAACGATAAACCAAGTCACCTTTGCATTAATAAAGAAATTTGCCATTTTCCTAATAAAGGGATTTTTGACATTTGAACCACTAACACAAAAGTTCGAAAAAAAGACTGAAATAACAGTTTTCTCTAAAATTTTATTGGGTAACTTAAACAATTAATAATCCGTATTTCTACCGCGAACACTAACAACACAAGAACATCGGTTTGGCATACTCAAAATGAGTTCATCCAAATCACGCTGTGGAATGGCCGCCCATGTTCGTTGCAACAACAAAAAAAGGTCTTCTTGCGACTGGATACCCTCCATATTCGGCAGAGCTCTTCTCTGTAGCATATCCCATGCATGCTCAATCGGGTTCAAGTCTGGCGACTGAGCAGGCCAGGGCAGGACATTGATGTTAGCTGCGGCGAGAGTCTGTCTTACAACTCTTGCGGTGTGCGGTCGTGCATTATCATGCATTAACTGAAATAAGGGACCGATTTGCACTTGTAGAGGAACGATGACGTCTGATACAATCGTCTCAGCATAAATTTGAGCGTTGAGGTTGCCTCTGATCCAAATCAACTCAGTTCTTCCGCCGATCCAAATACCCGCCCATACCATGATGGTTCCACCACTATAAGGATGGACTTCCTGGCAGGATTTTAATCGCTGTTGGCGTCCAGGGATTCTCCAGTGTCGTATACGTCTTGTATCCGGTCTCATACCAAAACGAGACTCATCAGAAAAGCACACGAAACGCCATTGTTCTTCTGCCCAATTTCTGTGTTCAAGAGCCCATTGATATCGAATCCTACGATTGTGCATTGCTATAGGTGGTACCCGTAGCGGTCTTCGGGAATGAAGGTTCACTTCATGCAAGCGGTTTCTGACTGTTTGGTCGCTAATTAAGTTCCCTGAAGAGTGATGAAGCCTCACGGCTAACATCATGGCGGTTATTGTTGGAGCTCTTCGAGTTAAGATTTGAATGTATCGGTCTTGTCTCCGTGTGGTGCAGCGATACCGTCCTCCATGGCGCTCAGCCACGGTACCAGTGCTTCGGTATCGTGTCCAAAGTCGACTGATAACACTCTGACTTGTATTCAGAGCTAAAGCCACAGTACGTTGCCGGGAACCAGCTTCTATCATTCCCACGGCTTTGAGCATTTCTTCCCTGCTTAAATGACGTCGCCGCTCCATAATAACGTTGGTTTTAATCAGTAGTAGGGAAACAGTAGCACTAATAATGTCTTCAATGCGTTGTATGTTTTTATAGGGAAAATATTGACAGCTGATTTTCATCTTTTACTCGAATTTGATTCACAGTTCCTGATTCAAATTATGAAATGCACCAAAAAGGATCCATATAAATTTATAAAATCATAAATTTATTACAAAGCCACATCTCAATCTCAAGAAATCCGCATAAAAATGCTTGATCCCTAGACACTTTTGATGTGTGTATATGAACAATACATCAATAAATTGAAAGCTACTATTATTAGTATTAAATAAGTTCTTATCACTAAAACGTATTATAAGGTGTCTGATTATATTCCAGAAAAAAATATTGTTACATGATTTGATGCTATGAAGTATTTTTCGCCGGATTTTCTCCACAGCTCCGCTCCAAAAATGTCCTTAACGGCTGATAGGGAAAAAAATGAGTGCTATCCAAAAGAGTTGTATTCTGCCTCCAATTTCAATAAAGAAATTTTGTATTTGATTTGATTTCATGTAACTTCATGGTATGTTCACATTACGGTGGTATATAAGTAATATGTGGTACAGAGACAGTCGAATTCTACAATATGGCCAATTTTACCTTTGTTAAAATATTTCATTGCGACGAATTTTTGAATACTCTTAGGTATGTACTTACATGTAACTTGTACTATAGAACTTGTAAAACTAAAAACCACTCCAGAAAATTTTACAATGAAGAATTCAACTCTTGGCCAAGTAAAATTTTTATAGTAAAATTTTCTGGCCAAGATATCCAGCCCGATAAAAAGACGGGATGATTTTTTTCCTAGTAAAGCCTTCTTAGATCTTCTTAGGAAAAATCTAACAGTTAAATGCTAAAAATAAAAATTTAATTAGATGAACACCTCGAATTTAATTAATGTATATCGCAGGTACATAATCATATAGTATAGGCACTTCAGTCTTGCCATATTAACGCTTATGCGTAAAACCAAAAAAAAAACAGACTTCAAGGTACTTACTACAAATGATTATTTTGCTGTTTTTTGAGTCATTGTGGTTATTGTCAAACCATGAAAAACAACCTCTATGTAGTCATTTATAGATACTACGTTTTTAGGGTTCCGTAGCCAAATCGCAAAAAACGGAACCCTTATAGATTCGTCATGTCCGTTCGTCTGTCCGTCCGTTTGTCACAGACACTTTTTTCCGAAACTATAAGATATATACTGTTGAAACTTGGTAAGTAATGTATTCTGTGAACCATATTAAGATTTTCACACAAAAATAGAAAAAAATAATAAATTTTGGGGGTTCCCCATACTTAACACAAAAAAATTTTTTTCATCGAACCCATACGTGTGGGGTGTCTATAGATAGGTCTTCAAAAATAATATTAAGGTTTCTAATATATTTTTTTTTCTAAACTGAATAGTTTACGCGAGAGATACTTCCAAAGTGGTAAAATGTGTGTGCCCCCCCCCCCCCCCCCCCCCCCCCCACCCCACTGTAACTTCTAAAATAAGAGAATAATAAAACTAAAAAAAAATATGATATACATTACCATGCAAACTTCCATCGAAAATTGGTTTGAAGGAGATCTAGAATTAGTTTATTTTAATACGTCATAAATCGTAAACCTCTATTTACCTTTCATTCAATCAACTCAAATATAAAAAAATAACAGTTAATTTCATAAACATGAACGTTAAGCATAAACCGTGACCATTATTTTCTAATAATAAATCTGTAATTAAGAATTATAATTCGCGCGGGGCGTGGCTTGATCGGTAGCGGGTGCAGAGCGCGCGGGTGCAGGTTTTATATAATGTTACTTGCTGCTACGGAACCCTTCATGGGCGAGTCCGACTCGCACTTGGCCGCTTTTTTATTTACAATCAAACATTGCGTGAAATAGAAGCTAAACAATTTTTATTAAAATGAAATTAAGTCTTTTTAAGAATGTATAAAATCAGTAGGTCAGTGTTACCACAAAATTACATTCCAAAGAGCGTCAAACTCATTGCCGATATTTACATGGCTACATGGATGTAGAGGGCGTTGCTGTTGTCCGTTAGCTCGGGGTAGCACATCGCTGCGTCCAGTCGCAGCTCAACCGTGCCATTCGCGTCCGTCATCATGTCCAGGCAGTATACCGTAGGATCGTGCCAGTGCTGTCTGCCGTTCGTTATATTATATCTACTCACCGACGGCATACGCGATGTAGAGGGCGTTGCTGTCGTCTGTTGGCTCGGGGTAGCACACCGCTGCGTCCAGTCGCAGCTCCATCGTGCCATTCGCGTCCGTCATCATGTCCAGGCAGTATACCGTAGGATCATGCCATTGCTGTCTGCCGTTCGATATCTCGTACAGAGTAGCATTCTGAAACAAAAGAAGTATGCAGATACGTAAAGCAATCATGACTATTATAATTTTCAAATATGAACTTAACGATGATAACGCAATAACAACCTTATCAAAAATATTATTTTCTTTGTCAATATTAAAGGTTCCCTTCCCTTAACAAATAAGTTTGAATTATTCATATCATAATGCTTGCCTTTGTTTCCGATAGAATGCACTAATGTAGGGATGGGCAAATTACGGCTACGGCTATAATCCGGCCCGCGACAATCAAACAATAATTAAATTTTCTCAACAAAAAGTACATTTTTTCCACCCCGCTGCCGAACCCACATATTTATTTCGCAACAAACTCAGTGGGCTATTTGCTCTGCTGCTAAACTGCAGGGTGAAGGACATTCGTTACTGAGTCATATTTTGATTTGATTTAATTTACAAAGTCTACGGGGGAGGGGGCAAAAATCGTAAATGGCCTGCTTCCGTAGCACGAGCAGCACAATTTATTTTATATCACGTTTTATTATATCGCGTCCAACTGTCAAAGTCCATAGTAATTTGACACTTGAGTGTGGTAAAAACGCGTTATATATCATATCGCGGTGCTCATTCTAAGGGGCTTAACAAAACTTGGGCCGCCATATATTCTGATAGTAAACATTGGCTCGATAAGGAAAAAGTTTGCTCATCCCTACACTAATGCTTAAGACTAAGAGTCGCAGAAGACCATTTTGTAAAACTGTGTTTTTTTTTATAATTAAATTACTTTAAATTTCGCTTATTTGGAACATCGACGTACCTAAAATGTGCTTCATTTAGTTTGCCACTGAAATACAAAACTTCTATTCCATCTATATTGCTATCGTTATACTAACACATTAAACATTAATAATATAAGTATGCGTGATGATCTTTATACAATGTTTAAACATCGTGATAGTTTAATTAAAATAAACTCGAGTCTCTACAATTACGCTGCGATGTAGCATCATTAAGCCCATACTACAGAGTATACCACGGTGAGTGTTCTGAGGAGTTATTCTCCCTCATTCCTCCATCACCTTTTCTTCAGAGGACCACGCGCGCTGGCCTTTTTTGCCACCGACTTACTGTGACCACTATTCCTATACGAAGAAAGAAATTTGGTGACTCATTTCTTTGTCGTACTATTCGTAAGTGGAATTCTTTGCCCGCGCACGTGTTCCCTCCTTCCTACAATCTGGGGTTCTTTAAGAGAGGCGTGAAGAAGCATTTTTGCAGGCCGGCAAGGTAAGGATGGTTGGTGTAGCAGTTTATAACTGCTGTACCAGCTATCTTCGCGTTTGGACTTTATCACCACTTAACATCAGGTGGGGTAGTCATTTGCCTACATCGCTATATAAAAAAAAATACCCAGGTAGAAGTTTTGTAGTAGTCTTATGATATTTGTTTTTTTTTAATAAATATCGCACCGTACGCACTACAGCAGTATCGCTTGTATACTATACATCAATCCTTGTCTTTAGTTGCGTGCTTTGTTTTTCCTCCGTGGTTGCGTGCGACCAAGCACGTCAGGAAGGATACTGAAAAATTAAAAGTATTGCATTTCATACCCGTTCAAAAAGTGCTTTATTATCTGAATGAACAAACTTCAGACTTTCATATTATTATCATAAGATATTAACCATAATTTTACGATATTATAATGAAGTACTTACATTTATTGAATAAAAGTTATCGTAAACGAAAGTGTTGAAATAATAAACTATAAAAAAAATGAGTTTCCTTAATAGCACAAATACTAATTAATCGCTATCAATAGTGGAAAATAAACCACAAAATAAAAACATACAAACCTTGGTCTGTAAAAATCCCATAACTAAATAAATATCTGTAGCAAAAAAAGGTATTATCTTAATATACTATATCAGTAGTTATTTCGAAGACTCGATTAACCATCTCTTGCTGAATCGAAATACTTACATCTTATTGTAAGTATGCACGTTTTAGGTAAGTACTTACATTATATACAAACGCTTACTGCTCATCTGTCAGTTTGTTTGAAATTATTCTAATTTGAACACTACTGAAAAAGCGCTTACTATTTCAAACGGACAGGTTTAAAGTGCTACATCATTTTAAATAAACTTTTCTAATATAAACTATTTCAATATAATTATGTAGTTAAGATAACGTTTAGTTGCTTCACTACTATATAAAATGAAGTTACCAGTGTTATAACCGGTTAATTTTGTGACCAAATCTTGTCATTTATATACTACTAGCTTTGCCCCGCCGTGTTACTCGCGGTTTATTAGGGAAAGTGAATTGTCTAATAACAGTAAAAATAGTAACTTATCACATTTTTAGAAGCAAAATGATACAAAGTTCCCCATTTCATATATACGTTATCCGCGAATTCATTTTCATCGATCTTCCCATGGGAATAAGATATTTTCCCGCAGTAAAACGTAGCATATGTGTCAATCCAGGGTATCAGCTAACTCCATACCAAATTTTATTAAAATCACTCCAGCCGTTAAGACGTAAAGCAGTAACAAACATACACACTCACACACTCAAAAACTTTCCCGTTTATAATATTAGTGTGATGTACATACTGTGCATTATGTACCTAGTTTGGTTTATATTTTTAACACGCAGTTCAAACACTGTAAAATTTTTGCAATAAACAATATTTTATTATATTTTATGTTGTATCAGCTGATCAGCTGTACAATTTACTGGGTAGATACCTAAATCTTTGTCTATGGGATTACCTACACCTAACGAAGCTTGAAAACCACAGTGATGTTGCGTTAAAAAAACATTATCAAAGTAAGAATATATAGCGAATCGGGTCTTGGACAAATACACCACGGGGTGTTGCTTCTATCATTGTTGGGTGGAAGCATTAGTCGGATAAGGAAACTTTGAAGAAAGGCAAGATATAGTATGGAGCTTTTGTGTAAAGAAAAAATGAGTGAAAGGATATCTTAGACAAAAAATATTGATAGATTACGAATATAAAGTAAAAGTCGAGTATAAAAAGGCTTATTAAAGCTTCTTAAGTAAATTGACAACGTTTAAGAGAAGGCCTATAGACAAGACAAGTACATGACTCGGCATAATTTAAGATCTGTTCCGTCTCTAGAAGTTTAGTCTAATCTGTTACCTAAAAGTTTATTCTTGCGAGATTGAGTGTATTTTAGTTGACATTCAAAATCTTATTTTGCTATAACTCTTTACCACTCTTATCACGTTTTAGTATTTAGTTGTTTAATTTAACAATTTCGTGTGTATTATTTAAATCACTGACGGCCTTTGTTACTGAACATCAATAATAATGTTAATTGACTTTGAATATTTAAGTTGACATTCAAAATCTTATTTTGCCATAACTCTTTACCACTCTTATCACGTTTTAGTCTTTAGCTGTTTAAGTTAACAATTTCGTGTGTATTATTTAATATTAAATCACTTTATGGACTTTGATACTGAACATCAATAATAATGTTAATCGACCTTTAGGTATTCAGGGCTCATTCGCAGAAAATAGCCTACTTTATGGTCTCTAACTATCCAGTTCTATTGAAAGTGGATGAGTTTACATCATGTTTAATAGTTTTGTTATGATAACGATTTCTGTTTAGAAGCATCAAATGAAAAGCAATATTGCAAAGTCTTAGATATTACGAAACTAAACTATTTATGACGACCTTCGTGGCCGAGTGGTTTGTACGCCGGGTTTCATGGTGTCGTTTACACGAGAGATCCCGGGTTCGAACGCCGGTGGGAGCAGATGTTTATGTGATGAATACGAGCATTTGTACTCCAGTCATGGATGTTTAATATGTATTTCTATATACATATACTGATATATACAGTAATTGTATTCTGTCCGTTACCCTAGTATCCCATAACACAAGCTTACAGTGCTTACTTTGGGGCTAGGCTAATTGGTGTGAGTGTTGGAAGTATTTATTTATTTAAATATTGCATAATTGATATTAACATGAAACCGGCCAACTGCTAGCCGGACTTGCAAACGAAGAGTTCCGTAGGTGCTGATTGTTTAATGACACTGTCGCGGAAAAAACTATAAACTTTTTTAGAGATCCGTGACTCAAAAGAAAACTGTTTGTTGTCCGTTCATCTATCTGTCCATCTGTCAGAACTGTTTGCCCCGCCTTAAATCAGCAACCCCTTAGGTAAAGAGCTGGGAAAAAGTCAAATATCTAAAACAACGCAATCAGACGCGTCTTCAGTCTCAAATCGTGAAAGTTAAGTAACTTTCACAATAACTGATCAAATAATGGATGACCAATAGGAAACTACTACATACATGCTTCTTTGTGTTTCGGAAGCATCTACACAACAGTCTTAGGCCAATATTTTTTTTCTGTGTGGGAAATATATTTTAATTAACTTCATAATATCAACATGTTTACGCAGGCGGCTGGATCCAATTTACGTAATTGACTAATGATATAAAACAAAATATAATTCTTTCCATACATAGTATTTTCAGTTAGTTCGGCCTCTGTTTAGCTTCCCGGCATATGGCACGGCTCATGGCCTCCAACCACAGTAAAACAACACACACCTACAATAATAAACAGTTGAATCCGAACACATTATTTAGACACAATAAATATGCTTAAACATTCCAACTCGAGTTTTCTGCAGAAACGTGGAAAACCTGTTAGATAAGTATTTACGGAAACGATATTCAAGTTAACCTACCTACCTACTTGGTGTTGAATAACTAACTTTTAAAAGTTTATTTTAAAGTTAGTTTACCTATTCACTTGCCAAAGTTTAATTTAGGTTACTGCGATAATAGTAAATATTTTGCGGTGAAATGGCGTAGTTTTGAAATGTGAACCCCGTTTAGTTGACGGCTTTTGTTTTTGTATATTGTTCACTATTTTCATTTCTCATTGGCTTATTCATCCATGCCATGAAAACGTGTCAGAAATTTTCGAATAAATATTTACAACCTTTGTTTAACTTTCAGTGTTAGCGGCCAAAGTGTGTAA